GGTTTCGATTCCTTGTTGTCCAGTTTTTAGGCGATCCGCTCTAGCGGGTCTTCCTGCGCTCGAGCGGGGACTGCACACCTCCAGTATTTCGTGTTCCTGCAAAACTTCTGCAGATGTGATTTTTACGCTCGAGCGGTAGCGCTCGAGCGGGTTTGGTGGCGCTCGAGCGGGTAGTACTTTCTGGGTATAAGTTCTGGGAGAGGGAAATCTGCGCTCGAGCGGACTGGTTTTCGTGCTCGAGCGGAAGTGCTTTATTCTTGTGTCTTGGCGCTCGAGCGGGCCTTATTGCGCTCGAGCGTGTCTAGATTTTTGTTCTCGGCGCTCGAGGGTTGTGTTCTCCGCTCGAGCGGGTCATACATATATGAGTTATCCGCTGTGTGATTTTAAATCACTTTTTACTTTCCTTTCTCTCTCCTACTTTTTCTAAAACCCATTTTGAGAGCTCCTCTCTCTAAAACCTTGACTTCTCTCTAGGTATTGATCTAGTAGGAGTGATTTCCTCACCTTTGGCCTTTACAAAAAAGTTGTTGATCGTCGAAGGCTATCTTTTGAGTCGAGAAGTTCGTGGTTTGGAGCATATTCGTTTCCATCATCTTCTTGGTTGGGTGTCATTCTTTGAGGTAGGGATAACCTACTCCTCACTACGGGTTTTGTCTTTAAATTTTAGTACTTTGAGATGTTGGGATTGGTTTGGTAATTTGTGAAAGTTTGGGGCTTTTGTGTAAATTTACAAAAAGTTGGGGTTTTAACTATATAAAACCTAGATGCATGTTTGGCTTGGAAAGGTGAAATTAATGTTAAAACATTAATGAAAATGGAACCTAAGGATTGTAATGTTAATTATGGAAAATGCCCTAATTACATTGGTTAATTAATTTGCGTAATTAATTATGAGAAATGAGGAATTTATTTGGAAAGGTATGGAATTAAAGGGTGTAGTTGGATTACTTATCGCTCACCTAGTTGAAATGTTGATTATATATCCATTGTTGCATTTATTTTCTGTATAGAAATAACTACTTTGGGCTATCGGTGAAGGATAGTCTTGATTGTTGTAGACAGTGCATGATGATTAGGCAAACTGGAACTAATCACTGGAATGGGTCATTGAGTATGACGGTTGAAAGAATACATTAAATTTATGTATTGTGTGATGATGTGTATAATTATTGTTTATATGCACTGTGTTGTGTTGGAGGAGATAAGGGATGTATTCCACAGTTTAGGGGAAGATAGGGGATGGACCTCTAAACCGGACGTTGTTGGGAGGAGATAGGGGATGGACTCCATAGATAGAGCTCATATGCTTATCTAGTAATGTGTTGACAGAGCTCATATGCTTGTCTTTGGAAGTGTGATAATGCTTTTATGCATATCTATGGAAGTGATGATATAGCTTGTATGCTTATCTGTTGGTGTGTAATATAGCTAGTATGCTTATCTATTATGAAATGAGAAAGGGCTTAATATGGGTTATTGTCTCATATAAGTTGTTTGGCCAGGTTCTAAGCCATGGTTATAAACTGAGAATTGAAAAGAATTGGAAAATGGATTGTAACATAGACTTGTATGTCATGAAACCGTAAAGTGTGATAAGGGAAAGTATCAGTGTTGGCTATCTATCAACTGCTAATCTTTTAGTCATTGTTCATATTTGGTTTAGTGTATTTCTACTGGGCTGTGGCTCACCCTATATGGGAATATCATTTTCAGGTACAGGTAGCATGCCACCTCCAAGGACGTAGCTTGGGAGGCTAGAGGCGGGCACACTTTTTGTTGTTTAGTTTCTTTGATGTATTACATGTATATTCAAGCCAAGGGCTTAATGTGTAAATGAGTGAGCACTCTTTTGTTGTAACCAAGTGTTAACTTGGAAAGCTGTAAGCCTTTAGGGCATTTGCTTTTGTCGTTAACATGTAATATTTTTTAGTAATGGAACTCTGATGAATAGAAGAATGTGGAGCTTTATATATCAATGCATGTCTATATTTGGTGAGTTTAATATTATTATTTTGAGGGCATTATATCTCCCCTAAGGACTAAGCCTTTAAGAAAATCATAATAAACTAAACCCTTAATAAAATCATGATGATCAACTAAATTAGGCCTAATTGATTACTTCTCTATCTAATTTGGGGAAACCATGAAAGGTGCACTACAACATTTTCTTAGTTTAGTGACATTTGAAAGTGTCACAAAACTATTCTTCTAATGACATTTTTTGGTCTTGTGACATTTTGAACAAGTGCCACTTCTATCGATGCCACGGTAGATACGAGTGCCACGGTAGATACTTGCAAATGCCACTGCACCATCATGGCTGAAAACTTTTAATGACATTTTAATGTCATGGTAGATATTATTTGTGGCACTATCAAGCGCCATTAAAAAAAGAGTTAGTGACACTAGTAAGTGTCATTACACCATCAAAACTAAAACCTTTTAGTGACACTTTAATGTCATGGTAGGCACTATTCGTATCAAGTGTCATTCATGACGATAATTCGTTGTAGAACAATTTGATCCGCTCTTGCGGAGACTCGAACCGTCAACCTTCCGCACCATAAACCTTATACACCACATTCTTCCCACTACACTTCTATACCACCACATGATTATATATGCAACATATATTATTTATATAGCACATACATCCATATTAATAAAAAAGTATATGTATAAACATAATTATTTTATTGAACATAATTTATGTAAAATAAACTATTTACTACCAAACTAAAAAAAAAAAGACCACTTTTGGCGAATTTTTAGTCATCAATTCTATACTTTTGGCTACTGATTGTGTTTTAGTTGCTAAAAAACTTAATTTTTGTCGACCAAAATCAGATTTGGTCGCCAAAGATGCACTTTCAACTACCAAAATTTTGGTCACCAAAAAATTTTATTCCCGCCTTAGGATTTTAGTTCTCCCGCGCTAAAAATGACCACTTTTGGCGGCTAAACTTATTTTTCTTTCAGCTACCAAAATTTTGGTCACCAAAAAATTTTATTCCCGCCTTAGGATTTTAGTTCTCCCGCGCTAAAAATGACTACTTTTGGCGGCTAAACTTATTTTTTAGTCGCCAATTGTAGACTTTTGGCTACTAAAATTTTTTTTGGCACCAAAAAGCTTTACTTTTGGCTACTAAAATTTTTTTAGTTGGTAAAACCCATATAATCAGCGACGAAATTTATTTTTAGTCGCCAATTGTAAACTTTTGGCTACTAAATTTTTTTAGTCGCCAAAAAACTTTACTTTGGGCTACTAAAAATTTTTTAGTCACTAAAACCCATATAATCAGCAACCAAACTTAGTTTTAGTCGCCAATTGTAGACTTTTGGCTACTAAAATTGTTTAGTCGCCAAACAGCTTTACTTTTGGCAACTAATGTTGTTTTGGTTGCTGAAAGTAGCTTTCAGCGACCAAATTTTTTTGGTTAGGAAATTTAGTCGCCGAATATGCTTTTTCCTATAGTGTATATTGAGTTTAATTCATTTATTTTTAATCATTTACTGCATTTTAAAAATTTAGAAAATATATTAGCATTTTTTATTTTTTCAAAAATGTCATTATAAGCTTAGAAAGTTTTTGGCTTAGTGGCATTTTTCAAAATTTGTGGCATTTTTCCAAAACGTGCCACTAAATATCATTTTTGTGTCATTTTCTAAAAATATACCACTATTGTAGTGCCACTAAAGTATGTTTTTGTTGTAGTTTTGTGACACTTGTTCATTGAAATGTCACTAGAGCCTTTTATGTTTGTTGTTTTGTGGCATTTTTCAAAAACGTGCCACTAAATATCATTTTTGTGTCATTTTCTAAAAATATACCACTATTGTAGTGCCACTAAAGTATGTTTTTGTTGTAATTTTGTGATACTTGTTCATTGAAATATCACTGGAACTTTTTATGTTTGTCGTTTTGTGGCATTTTTCAAAAATGTGCCACTAAATATCATTTTTTGTGGCATTTTCTAAAAATATGCCACTAGTGTAGTGCCACTAAAGTATGTTTTTGTTGTAGTTTTGTGACACTTGTTCATTGAAATGTCACTAGAGCTTTTTATGTTTGTCGTTTTGTGGCATTTTTCAAAAACTGTGCCACTAAATATCATTTTTGTGGCATTTTCTAAAAATATGCCACTAGTGTAGTGCCACTAAAGTATGTTTTTGTTGTAATTTTGTGATACTTGTTCATTGAAATATCACTGGAACTTTTTATGTTTGTCGTTTTGTGGCATTTTTCAAAAACGTGCCACTAAATATCATTTTTTGTGGCATTTTCTAAAAATATGCCACTAGTGTAGTGCCACTAAAGTATGTTTTTGTTGTAGTGGTGAAACCATGGCATGGCTATTTTGTGTTCAAATTTATTCATACCCTTTGGAAGAAAGTGTGAATCAATTATAAATTTACAAAGTCTAAAGACAATGAATTTGTTATCTCGAAATTTATCAACAAATTTATTTATTTATTTATAATTTTTAAAGTGAGAACAGCCTAGTGTTTTGGCGACGAAATTCATTGTTATTTTTTTATAGTTGGTAGGAGAGCTGATATAAATTTTCATTAATTTAAAATAATATGATTCATAATTACGAGAGGCCAATACACTTTTTAAATATAAGATCTATTATTTTAAATCAAACACCATTTGTGTTTTATTTATATTTTGAGAAAACTTATTTGAAATGTACAATATGTTTGTAATTTTGTTATCAAATATTTCATATGGCCACATCGAATTAATTAAAATTATATAAAATAAAAAAATTCTTCGATGTCAACCAAGTATTGTTTGTTTAGCATTAATTTGAGATTAATTTAATATTTTTATCCAGTACTCTAAAATCAATATAGCAAGGGAAAAAATTGCAAATTACAAATTACAGTTAGATCTTTTGAACTTAGGAAAAATTGAATCTGAGTTTTAAAATTAAATATTAGTATGAATAATTTATTGACGTAATTCATTCAAAACAACAAAATGAATGAACCCATGCTGCCAAAACAAACACGCAAAACTTCTCATAATATTGGTATACAGTTTACAAAGTAGAACTAGAACTGGTTTGAATTATTAACCCCATAACAATCAATATATATGAAGATCGATACAAATAGATATCCCGATATTATTATTTAAAGTCACTATTATATATGCATTACTCTGGCTCTCACATGGACACCTCCTCTTTCATAGTATTACAACAAATAGGTGTCTCGATATTATTATTTAGTTTTTTATATACTAAGAATTCGGATACTTTGTAATGCAAATATTGAAATAGTGCCTTTTTCTTTAAGTTGCCAGATTGAAGTTTATTATTTTCTGAGACATTTTATGGTGGTCCACCCGGACCTGGATATCCAGGCGTTGGTGGATACCATCCATACTCTTGAAGAAGCTTACGACCTGCAAAATAAAAACCAACAAATTACTGATAATAAAAACAATAACTAAATACAAACAAGAGAATTGTACTTTTAAACATGAAAAAATGGATGTTTAAACAGATACCATACAAAAGAATCTTTTTACGAACCGAGGTTTAAAGGTCCTCCTGCTACAATTGCTGCCTCGGAGACAGAGGAAAGGAACGAGATCGCCGTGAGAAAGGCCGCTATGAACAGCAGGACTCGTGAGTTCTTAGACAGCCATTTTTTGCTGGGTTACAACTTGTTGGAGTGACTGATGAGAGATGCACCATCAATTTATAGAACTCAAAAAAAATTTGCGTTTTTTTTGTTTTTTTATTCCTCATTTTTTAAAGGATAAATTACAAACACACTCTTCAGATTTATTTAAATTACAAATTATCTCCTATGATTCTAAAAATTACATTATGCCTACTAAGATTTTTAATTACATAACAAATAGGTCCTTTTATTAATAAATGATCAAGTTAATTAACAATTTTTAATAATGTTAAAATTTTATTTCAATTAATAATTCAGATAATTTTATTATTGTATAGGTGAACACTTAGAAATTTTATTTTTTCAATTAATTTTGTTAAATAAAAAAATCTGACATGAAGGTATTTGTAATTTTTTAAATCACATGGGACAATTCGTATTTTAAGTAAATCTCAAAAGGGGCATTTGTAATTTATTCTTTTTTAAAGATGAATAACTTGTGATTATTGATGTATTTTAACTTTTATAATTATAATATATTATTTAACTTTTGTAAACAGAATTTTCTGTAGTTTTAAAACTACTTATCACTGTTGGGTATACCTCCTTATTAGAGTGTGGGACTCAATTGGTTTGTTAAAGAATTTTAATTTGGCTTAGTTTAGGTATAATATATTTTTATATATTATATTTGTAGAGACCCAATCCAATTTGGAAACAACTAAGGTTTGGTAATAAACCCTAGATTCACAATATTATGAGGTGTGTATTGTTTTTCCCAAAGAAAAGTGGTAGCCGTTTTCTTGGTGAGATAGTGCTTCGGAAAAATCAGTGAGTAGCAGCAGCAAATTGATGTTGGTGCATCTTTGTTTGGGTGCTTTTGTGAAGTTGATTTGGGTCGTTATTTTGGGTCTTCTTCAACTCTGGTTCTGAAGATTTTGGTTCATCTATTTGGTGAGGTCTTTCCTCTTTGTTTATTTGTGATTATTTGGAATTCACCTAAGGGTAGTTTTGTGAGACCATTGTTGTCTCGTTTGTAATCGTTTGAAACTTATTTGGTTGATAGTAGAATCGGATTTCGATCCCGTGGACGTACCTCACATTGAGGGAACCACGTAAAAATTCTTGTGTTGCTTCTGATTTAACTTTTCCGCATTAGTTTTTATTCTCATTGATTGATTTACTTGTGGGGAATCACATATTTTCCCTAACAACTGGTATCAGAGCTTACGGTCTATTTGGGTTTATTTATTTGTGTAAATCAATGGAGGGGAATGTGGGTCGTATGTCTACCTTCAATGGAAGCAATTGGGTAACTTGGAAAACTAAAATGGATGACCTATTGTTTTGTAAAGATTTGTATGGATCCATTGAGGGTGATAGTGGCAAACCCGAGGGTATGAAAGATGATGAATGGAATAGACTTAATCAAAAAGCCGTTGGTGTTATACATCAATGGATTGATGATAGTGTGTTTCATCATGTTGCTACTGAAACTTCAGTACATGATTTATGAAAAAAAAATAGAAGGCCTTTATGATAGAAAATCAGCCACAAATAAAGCATTTCTGTTTCGTAAGTTGGTTAATTTAAAATATAAAGAGGGCAGCCCTATTCCAGAACATCTGAATGAAATAAAGAGTATTGTTAACCAACTTGCTTCTGTGAAAATTGTTTTTGATGATGAGTTGCAGGTTTTGATGCTACTTAGTTCTTTGCCCGAAAGTTGGGAGACTTTAGTTGTGACCGTTAGTAATTCGGCGCCCGATGGAGTTGTCACAATGGGCCAAGTCACTAGTAGCCTGTTGAATGAAGAAACTAGAAGAAAATCAGCAGGTTCCTCTCATTCGGAAGCATTCTATCTTCTTTTCAGTTTTTGGAGCTGTGTGTTTTTTTTTAACAATAATGTTTAATGTTTTTGTATTATTTATTTATTTTATTATTTAATATTTATTTTATATAAAAATAATTTAACAATCCCTACACCAATAACTATCATCAAAACAAACACAATTTTACTTAATCTTCCCATTATTAATCTCTCACAATAAATCTTCTTCATTCTACCTCTGAAAATAAACGGAGCCTAAATCTCATTATAACTTGTTTGGTAGTTTTCTTGTTGAGAGGGATTGCTATTCACCTGGAGTATGGGTAATGAAGGTTTGTCCAAGATTATCGGTATGGGTGATGTTTGCTTGGAAACAAATTTGGGCTGCAAGTTGTTGCTTAAAGATGTGAGGCATGTTCCCGACATTCGCCTCAATTTGATCTCTACCGGAAAGCTAGATGATTAAGGCTACAACAACAAATTTGGTGATGGAATATGGAAGCTCACAAAGGCTTCTTTGGTGGTGGCTAAGTGTAAGAAGACTCATACACTTTATTCGATGCAAGGAAAAATTTGTAAAGGTATTGTCAATACACTTGAAGATGATACTTCTACCGAATTGTGGCATAAGCGGCTTGGCCACATGAGTGAAAAGGGGTTACAAGTATTGTTCAAGAAAGAGCTTCTACCTAGTTTGAAAGGTACACATATTAAAACTTGTGTTCATTGTTTGGCGGGTAAACAACATAGAGTTTCTTTTCATAAAAATGTTGCTTCTAGAAAAGAAAATGTTTTGGAGTTGATTCATTTGGATGTTTGTGGTCCTTTAAAAGTTAGAACACATAGTGGTGCACTTTATTTTGTTACTTTCATTGATGATTATTCAAGGAAAGTTTGGACTTTTCTACTAAAAACTAAAGATCAAGTTCTAGAAGTATTTAAGCATTTTCAGGCCATGGTTGAAAGAGAAACAGGGCAGAAATTGAAGTGCATCCGATCAGACAATGGTGGTGAATACATTGGGCCATTTGATGAGTATTGTCGCAGTCAAGGTATTCGGCATCAAAAGAAAATTAAGAAGACTCCTCAACAAAATGGAGTTGCCGAGAGGATGAACCGCACCATTGTGGAAAGAACAAGGTGTTTGCTTTCACAAGCTAAATTGTCAAGATCCTTTGGGGGTGAGGCATTGAAGACAGCAGTTAACGTGATCAATTTGTCTCATTCCTATCCTTTGAATGGTCATGTTCCAGAAAGAGTTTGGACCGGTAAAGATGTATCTTATGAGCACTTGAGAGTGTTTGGTTGCCGAGCTTTTGTTCACATTCCAAAAGATGAGAGGTCCAAGCTTGATAGCAAGTCAAGACAATGTATTTTTCTTGGCTATGGGCGTGATGAATTCGGGTATAGATTGTGGGATCTGGTCGACAAGAAAGTCATTCGAAGCCGTGTTGCTGTGTTTCTTGAAGACCAAACAATTGAAGACTTTGGCAAAGGTGATCAACCAGAGCCAAAAACTAGTGATCTCATTGACATGGATCCATCTCCTTCATCTTCAGTTGATGATGAAAAGGGGGGAGATGTGCAGCCACCTATTGAAGAAGTGGAGGATGATGCTAATCCTAATGAAGTTAAGCCAGAAATTGAGGAAGAGCATCCAACTCAAGAACCGCCACCACAACTTGAGTGAAGAAAATCTACAAGGGACTGACAACCTTCAAGAAAGTATCCTCCCAATGAATTTGTGTTGATTTCTGATCAAGGGAAGCCGGAGAGCTACCAAGAAGCAATTGAGCATGCAAAGAAAGATGATTGGAAAAAAGCAATGGAAGAGGAATTGAATTCCTTGAATGAAAATCACACTTATGATTTAGTGAAGTTGCCTAAGGGGAGGAAAATTTTGAAAAATAAGTGGGTCTTCAAATTGAAGAATGATGGCAAGAATCTGACGTACAAAGCACGTCTTGTTGTGAAAGGCATTGGGCAAAAGAAAGGTATTGATTTTGATGAAATTTTCTCGCCAGTTGTGAAGATGTCTCCTATTCGGGTTGTACTTGGCATGGCTACAAGTATGAACCTTGAAGTTGAGCAACTTGATGTGAAGACTGCATTTCTTCACGGTGATCTTGAAGAAGAAATTTACATGGAGTAACCGGAAGGTTTTGTGGAAAAAGGAAAAGAGAAATTTGTTTGCAAAATGAAAAAAAGTTTGTATGGTCTCAAGCAACCTCCGCGACAATGGTACAAAAAATTTGACTCTTTCATGATGAATAATGGTTTTTCTAAAACCACTTCGGACCATTGTGTGTTTGTGAAAAATTTCCCGGATGGTAAATTTATTATTCTCATGATTTATGTTGATGACATGTTAATTGTGGGTCAAGATTCTACCATGATTAACAAGTTGAAGTTAGAATTGAGTAAATCTTTTGCTATGAAAGATTTGGGGCCGGCAAAGCAAATCTTGGTATGAAAATTGTTCGTGATCGTAAAAAGGGGCTGATTTGGTTGTCACAAGCGAGCTACATTGAGAAAGTTCTTGAGAGGTTCAACATGAATAAAGCAAAGCCGGTTTGTTGTCCACTTGCAGGTCACTTCAAACTTAGTTCGAATCAATGTCCTACAAGTGAGAAAGACAAGGAAGAGATGTTGAAAGTTCCTTATGCTTCAGTAGTTGGTTCTTTGATGTATGTCATGGTTTGTACAAGGGCGGATGTTGCTTACGCCGTTGGTGTGGTGAGTCGGTTTCTCTCTAATCCGGGTAAAGAACATTGGGCAGCGGTAAAATGGATTCTAAGATATCTTTGAGGGACTTCGAAGGTGTGTTTGTGTTTTAGGGATGGTAAGCCGATGCTTGATGGGTTCACAGATTCTAGCATGGCTGGTGATGTTGATTCTAGGAAATCTACTTCGGGGTATTTGATGACTTTTGCAGGGGGAGCTGTGGCATGGCAATCTAAATTACAAAAATGTTTGCTCTCTCAACTACCGAAGCTGAATTTATTGCAATTACGGAAGCTTGTAAAGAAGATTTATGGTTGAAGAAATTTTTGCAAGAGTTGGGTTTAAAGCAAGAAAGGTATGTGCTTTATTGTAATAGTCAAAGTGCTATTCACTTGAGCAAAATTTCTACTTTTCATTCGAGATCGAAACACATTGATGTGAGATACCATTGGATTCGTGATGTGTTAGATTCGAAATTGTTGCAACTCGAAAAGGTTCACACGGATGATAATATTTCGGATATGTTGACAAAGACTTTGTCGAGGGACAAACATTTAAAGTGTCGAACTTTTGCAGGTATGGTTGATATCTCCACCTAAGTCGGTACGGGGAGAATTGTTGGGTATACCTCCTTATTGAAGTGTGGGACTCAATTGGTTTGTTAAAGAATTTTAATTTGGCTTAGTTTAGGTATAATATATTTTTATATATTATATTTGTGGAGACCCAATCCAATTTGGAAACAATTAAGGTTTGATAATAAACTCTAGATTTACAATATTATGAGGTGTGTATTGTTTTTCCCAAAGAAAAGTGGTAATTGTTTTCTTGGTGAGATAGTGCTTCGGAAAAATCAGTGAGTAGCAGCAGCAAATTGATGTTGGTACATCTTTGTTTGGGTGCTTTTGTGAAGTTGATTTGGGTCGTTATTTTGGCTCCTCTTCAACTCTGGTTCTGAAGATTTTGGTTCATCTATTTGGTGAAGTCTTTCCTCTTTGTTTATTTGTGATTATTTGGAATTTACCTAAGGGTGGTTTTGTGAGACTATTGGTGTCTCGTTTGTAATCGTTTGAAACTTATTTGGTTGATAGTGGAATCGGATTTCGATCCCGTGGACGTACCTCACATTGAGGGAACCACGTAAAAATTCTTGTGTTGCTTCTGATTTAATTTTTCCGCATTAGTTTTTATTCCCATTAATTGATTTACTTGTGGAGAATCACATATTTTCCCTAACAATCACAAGTTATTAGCTTATAAAAATTGTGAACTTTGCTAGAGAAAATCAGTTTTTACAGAAAATTTGTGGTGGCAAGAAACGATTTTATTGAATTTTGAGTAAAATTTGGAATCGAATTTCATTTTATCATTTCTTGACAATGAATTTCAGTTGCTATTGAAAATGAATTCTTATAAAATCTAATAAAAATGTTTGATTCTAATTTTTTGAATTTAATTATTTGAAAATTGGGTTTTTTATTTTTTATATTTTTTAATTTTCAGTGAATATTTTTAATATTTGAAAAAAAAAATTAATTTTTAGATACATAAATATACCTAAACAATAAGATATTTATGAAAAAAAAATATTTAAAAATATCAGTAAACATACAAGAATACGAATATATACTAAATTTTCAATTTTTTTTTATATTTTTTCTATTTAGTGAATTTAAAAAAAAAAACCACAAATATTATATTTTTAAAATTTATTTCAAATATTTAAAAAATTTACTAAAAATTTAAAAAATATATATGAAAACTTAAAATTTTAATTTTTAAAAAATTAAAATCAAACAAGGTATTTTTTTAGCTGACAAATTTTTTTTTTAATAACCCCTAAATTTTTTTTAAAAAAAAGTATAAAAATATAAAATTAATTACATAAGTTAATAAAACAAAAGTTTCTTTTAGGAAATGAATTAAAAGTCACTTTCTAATTTTTAATCTATTTTGAATTAAATTATTTCTCATATTTTTACATTTTTTTAAAAAAAAAAGTCAAAAAAAAAAAAAAAAAAAACTAAAAAGTCAGTTTTTAACTATCTTTTTAAAACACCCATATATTTGATTTTTGTTGACATTTTGATTTTAGCCTCATGTGACAACTAGGTTAAGACTTGTTTTGGGAAAGAGGTTAAAATGAGATTTTTTTTTATTTTTTATTTTTTAAAAAGTGAAAATAAATAGAGAAGTAATATGGCCCAAAAAAATTAAAAAACTAAAAAAAAAAGGAGTAACTTTTAACCTTTTTGTCAAAAAAGACCTAAAAGTCGATTTTTTGACTTTTTAATTTTTTTTAATCACAAATTTCTCTTTTTTTTTTTTACATTTTCTTTAAAAAAAATAAAAAAGAAAAGTTAAAGAGTTAACCTTTAACCTACTTCTGAAAATAGGCATTTCTTCAATATATTAGAGGGACTTGAGGTCCTGCCAGAGTTGTATTCTCATCTTTTGAATTTTTTTATTTAATTGAAGTATTTGAGAAGAGTGTTGGGGTAAAATAACTCATAAAAATATAAAATAAATTAAAATAATCAATAAAATAAAATATCACATTTAATCCATAATCATTTCACTTTTCTTTTTAAAATTATCAAATCAACTACAATAATAATAATAAACTTTCTAAACATAATTATTTTAACCAAACTAAAATAAATAACCAACTTCTTAAATAAGGCCTCATTTAGGAAGTTGACTATTTTAATAAATTATTTTAATTTTTGATTATTTTAATAGGTAAAAATATTTCTATCTAAGATGATAATTAATTTTTTTTTATAATTGAATATGATATTTGTGGGAGAAAAATTTATCTTATAAACTATTTTAATTTATTTGTCTTTTTATAAATTTTAATCAAAAAAAAAAAAAATCCTTGTCAAACAAGGCTGAAGGCGAATATGGTCACTGCCCTTCTCTTCACGCCATTACATAGCGGAATTGTCATATCCATCATTATCGTCCAACTTGGAAAAAAAAATTAGTTTGTTTAGTTTTGATTTTTAAAAAATTATATTTTTGTTTATTTTTCATATATATATTTTTTTGTTTTCAATGAACTTTTTTAATATATTAAGCTATTTTTTAAAAAAAATTTAGACACACTTAATATAAATATACTTAAAAAAAATAATATTTGTGAAAAAAATCTTTCAAAAATTCATTAAATACCAAAAATATAAGGAAAAAAATATAAAAATTTATTACATTTTTCATATTTTTTCATATTTATTAATTTTTTAAAATATTTTTTTCACAAAGATTTTATTATTTAAATACATCTAAGTAAGGTGCATCTAAAAAAAATAAAAAAATTGCTTAAAATTTTAAAAATATTCACTAATAACAAAAAAATATGAAAAATAAAAAACTTAGTTTCCAAAAAACTGAATTCAAAAAATTGAAATCAAACGCATTGAATTATTTCGAAACTATTTAACAAAATTTCTTTTTTTCCAAACACACCTTTTGTGGATGTTTAATAATCTAATTCAACACTTAAAATTAAAGGTGTTAAGTGATAGTTAATTAAACTCATTTGATAATCATAATTAATATTGATGATATTGTTGATTCCTGAAGGGCGAGTCGGGCTGACCCACGCTTCCTACTCCATTCGACAATCACTAAGCTCACTGGTGTGCCTGCAAAAATATCCAACAGGGAACGGGAGTCCCCTAGCGGACCCTCCGACGACCAAGTTAGAAGAGAGGACATTGATGGTGTGTAAATAGAGAGAATAAGAATAGAAAAGTTAACCTTTTTTTTGTGTCTTGGAAGCCTCTTTATATCCCTTGTCCATCATTTCCTTGTCCACTCTGACCGTCGTGTTGGCCGAAAGTCTATTATCTAGCTTGCATTGTTCACGATGAGGTTGCTCGTTCCGTCGTTAAGGGGTTATCGCATTTAATGCTGCAGAAACTTCATTAATGGTTGATGTGTGGTGCAATAACTCTGCAGGATCTTTGTTTGATTACGTGGCTGGTTCCCTGCTTGACATGTGTTTAGATGTCATTGGTTCCTGGTTCAACTCTGGGTTCTCCAGAGTGTTGGGCTTCAATGCTTGAGTTGTGAATTGGGCTTTGAGTGGTGGGACAAAACCTTTTGTGGGCCTACCGATGTTAGTAGTCCCTTATTCCCAAGTGTAACTTCAGTCCAAGGGAATAAGAAGGGTCTCAAGGGTGTGAGGGGCCGAGTGAGAGAGCCGACTGTGAGGAGAGCCGACTGTGAAGGGGACCGACCGAGAGGGGAGCTGGACGCAAAGGGGGGTCGAGCGAGAGGCGACCCGACCATGAAGGGGGCCGAAAGAGAGGACCGACCAAGAGGAGAGTTGACCGTGAAGGGGCCGAGCAAGAGGATCGACCGAGAGGAGAGCCGGCCGCGAAAGGGGCCGAGCGAGAGAACTGACTGAGAGGAGAGCCGACCGCGAAGGGGGTCGAGCGAGAGGACTGATTGCGATGAGAGCTAACCGTAAAGGGGGTCGAGCTAGAAGTGGCGATGGTGCCCAGGGCTCGAGGAGTGATGAAAGCATGTGATGTTGTCAAGTGAAAAAGACGAGGAAAGGAAAGAGAGAGGTGAATTATGGTTGTACACGTGGCATGATCCAGTGTTGGGGGAGGCGATGTGTTAGCAGGAAACGAAGGGTTAGGACTAGGATAGGACGTCGAAAGGGCAGGGTTGGAAACTTTTGAAATTTTCAAACTGGCGAATTTTAATTTCGATCCATGGAATATAGGCAAACCGTGGGCAATTGGAGTTATCCGTTTTACATACCTCATTGCGAAAAACCAACACATCCCAGACCGGACCTCTTTCGTTTCGTGTGACACACCGCTCCAACAGTTTGCAAACTTCCTTGCGCTTGCATCTGAAGCAATATACAGAAACGAAAAAGAGATGGCTCGAGACGAAGCCCAAGCCATGAGGTTAGTGGTGTTGATTGAAAACGACGTGGTGGATTTGGCGGAGCAATATAGGACAGAGAGACGGGAGGAGAGAGGGGCAGAGTAAGCAGTGCAACCGCGTTTGTCCATAATGATCGTGGCCGCGAGGCCGATTAGCCAAGTGGGACGGGACCACTAGCACACCAAGGCTGACAAATCGACGTTTAAAGCAGAGGAGTTGGAGGAGGTGGTGAAAAGTACCAGATTCCGGCGGAGATAGAGTTGAACTGCCAAGGAGAAGACGTCAGACGCGCATTCGATGGAGTTCAAGCTGTATGAGGGGGCATTGCGGAGGGGTCTGAGGTTGCCGTTCCCACAAATAGTAGTGAACGTGCTGAACCATTTGGAGGTGGCGCTAGGTCAGCTTATGCCTAACGCGTGGAAAATATCATTGGCCTTCACGGTTGCATGGCCACAAGCGACCGTTGGGGAGGTGATGACGGTAGACGAGTTCTTTTCATGCTACAAGGCCTCTGGTCAACAAGAAACATGGGTGACCATGCAGGCGGTGATGGGTAGAAGATTAGTGGCGGGTTTACCATCATCGGTGAAGGGGTGGAGATCGAGGTGGTTCTATGTATCAGCCAATGGCGAGAGGGAGGTGTGCACAATGTGGAAAATTCTCATCAAATCGGTGGAGCCAAAGTTGAAGGCAAAAGCCGAGAATAGGGTGAAACGGGTGAAGGAGTGGAGAGAGAAGAAGGGTGTGAAGTAGGATGACCTCATCCGACCTTTGACCTTGTTCGCCTTGAGTCTGGGGCCGCAGCCGGCTGCGGAGGATCCTATATTGGAGGAGTTGGAGGCGAGGAGAAAGGTGCAGGAGGTAGAGGAGCGAAAGACATTTGCCAAGGCCGACAAATATAAGAAGTCACAGTTAGGCCCGACACCTAAACTAGTCATGCGGGGGCGAGTCCAACCACGGCCCAAGCCTTTGGGAGATAAAGATCTAACTAATTTTGCGCTGCTGCCGCCCTCAGTGGATCCGCTGAAGGAGAGGAGTAAACAAGAGGTGGATGTGGTGTTGAAAAAGAAGAAGAAAAAAAAAAGGCAGTTACGAAGGAGAGTGATGGGGGGCCAATTTTGAAGAAGACGAAGGAGGGGAGGGCAGAGGAAGCCCCAGGAGTAAAGGTGGGGGAGACAATAATGAGGGGGGGAAGAAGCCATGGGCCCAAATGCTGAAGTGGTGATGAGCATGGCGGAGCCAAGGCAGGTAGCAGTAGGGGAGAAATTGGGACTGTAATCACCCATGATGGGGCTTGTGCCAGAAGTGTCCCCAACTCCTGGGGAAGGGAAAGGTGGGGTGAGCAAATCAGAGATGGGTTCCAAGTTGAAGACCACGATGTACCATATGCTCGCGGTGGCCAGTCGATCGGCAGAAGAAGGGGGCGAAGCCAGGGTCGCCGTCGACCGTCTTGTTAGGGTAGTGGAGGATGCGGTCGTGCAGTTGATGGCGCGAGTTACAGAGACCGACCTCCTGAGGAGATTTTTCTCAACGCAAATGGAGGCTACGACCTTGGTGGCTGCTTTGTTGAATAAGGTAGCGTGCACGAAGGTGGAGGCAGAGCCGCTAAAGGCCCAGCTGGAAGAGGTGAAAGCGCAGTTGCAAAACCTAAGGGTCGAGACGGCAGGTTGGAGGAAGGCTGCGCGGAGTGCCTATGCAAAGGGCCAGGAGTATGCACAAAGAGCTAAAAAGATGGAAGTACTAGTGGTGGTGCAGAGCTACTTGGCAGAATGTGCTACCGCCGAGCTCGCCGTGACCAAATCAGAGCTAGAAGTGGTGCGTCACAAGGCGGTATCGCTAGAGTTTGAGTTGGCAATCGAGTAGAGGAAGTGAAGCGAAATCTAAGAAGCCTGTACCACTGCCAAGGAAATGTGGGAGGAGGCCCTCGTCAACAACGAAGATCTGCGTGACCAAGCAATTAAAGACAAGGAAGAAGCAGAAGCATTGCGGAGTTAGAGAAGTCGTTGGCAGAAGAGAGGGCCAAATTGGCCTCTGAGAGGGCGGCGTATCCAAACTTATGCATGGCGGCTGTTATCACGCCCCAATTTTTATTACTTGACATTATAACCAAAACCTTTAATACAAGTCCATTTAATTAATTACAATTATTATTACAAACACCCATTACATGGGGTAACAACAACAACAACATTGTTCTCTCTCAAATAATACAACAATAATACATGTACAAAATTCACATTGAAATACACATGAATCTCTCATTTACACTATGACCAAATAATAGAAAATAAACTCTTCAATCCTCAATCTGGCATTCCAAACTTTGTTCCTGACAAATGGTTAAAGTAATTGGGATGAACACGAAGTCCAGTAGGAATCTTCCCTAATTCTAAACAATATAGTCCTTAAATACATAAGATCATGAAGTGCTAAAGAGTGATATAAAGATAAATTCTTTGTGCTCTTTTTATACTCAAATTACAATACATATAGGTAACACCATTCTCATCAAGGAAATTCATGAAAACTTTTCAAAGAAAAATCCTTTTATTTGTTTCCATATCAGTCAAATATATGTTTAAAAAAGAGAGTCTTTTCAAGAACTTCCTTGCTAACTTTATCTAGAATTATAAACATAGCAACGAGTCATACTCCTACATGTCACAACACATTATAACCCATTATAATCCTCATAAAAGAACCAATATAATTCCATCTATTAGATTTTGCCCAATCGAGATTACTCACTTTTCATTATCTCAAACCCATGTACAAATCTTATTATAATCATTCCACACAATCCAAATTGGATACCGGCTCCATTACCAAGCCTTAACATCATACCACACGCTTTACCGGTCACAAACCGAAAGAAATTTAGAACCTCACGCTTTACCGATCACAAGCTGGAAGGAACGCGGAACCTTACACTTTACCGGTCACAAGCTGGAAGGAACGCGGAACCTTTACACATTTCATCAACCCACATGCTTTACCGGGTGCTACTCCGGAAGGAAGGCAGAACCTTTATTAAGCGCCACGCTTTGCCGGCTCAAATACGGCGGGAAATAGACCCCAAGGCAACATTACAATCCATTAATTTCTTAAGTCATTGCTTTTTACGAATTGTGGGCAAAGCCAACACATTCATTCATAATTTCCATTACTTATTATCTCAAGAACACGTACTCATTATTTTCCACCATTCTCTAGTATTCATCAAGTCGTTCATTGTTACAATCCCAACAAAACCAATAATAACATTCATTATTTTTATCACAAAATTCATCCAATAACACCTCCACTAAGAGCATTTGGCACATTTTTAGAAGCATTTTCAATTTTTATATTTCCATGGTCTTTTAACTTTTCCACAAAATTATCAAATATTCATACTCAATTTCATAACACAATAATCATCATAAATTATCCCCAATTAATTAATTTAATTACTCATCTTAATTTCTTCAAAATAACCTTTCTATGCAATAGTTATTTTCTAACCATTATTCATCATTATTTATTCTCATCTTTTTACAAAACATGAACTCAATTCCATAAATCAAATGTCAATTGAAGCTTTCTTTATTCCCAACATAGATTCCATAACCAGGGTTAAACATAAATTAGGCCTTTTTGCTATTCAACACAAAACCACATTCTCATGACGCAAACATCATATATTCCACTTAAATCATCAATTCAAATTCCATAAATCAAAAATCCTAGCTCCCTTCACATGCCATTTCTAAAAATCTCCTCAAAATGAGAGTTTTATGCAATAAGAAGCAGAGGCTACAATTCAGATAGGTAAGACTCGGGGCCTTGAAATGAATGGGCAAAGGGTTGAAACTGAGGAGCGGCGAATACGGTTGGAACTTGAAGAAATAAATAGTGCTAAGGCAAAGGAAAATCAGAAAAGAAGCTGAGGCTACCATTCAGTTGGGTAAGGCTCTGGGTTTGGAAATAAATGGGCAAGAGGCTGAAATTGTGGAGCGAGTAATTCAATTGGAACTTGAAGATATGAGTAGAGCTAAGGCAAAAGGAGTGGAGCTAGATGCTTAGTTGCAGCATTTGGTAGGTGGCTATAGTGCTAAGTTGTTTCCTCATGAAAATTTTATCCTGGAATGTAAGAGGGCTGGGGAGGGCAGATAGAAGGCAAAGGTTAAAGGAATTTTTGAGGTTGAAACAGGTGGATATGGTTTTGCTGCAAGAAACAAAAAAAATCTAGTCTAGATGCTACTTTTGTTAGGTCTTTGTGGCCTACTGATTTAGTGGAATATATGAATGTAGACGCAGTTGGCAGTGCGGGTGGGCTCCTCTGTGTCTGGAACCCTTTGATTTTTTCATTAAAGGATTGTTGCTGTTCCAGAAATTTCATTCTTCTGGCAGGTATTATGCATTCTTCAATTAATTGTGTTATTGGAAATGTATATGCTCCAAATGAAGATTCCAATAGGAGGAGGTTATGGGATATCCTTTTTAATCTGAAGTCTTTGTTCCCTAATCCTTGGTGCCTAGGGGAAGATTTTAATGAAGTTAAAAGTATTAGTGAAAGAAAAGGGTGTGTTAGAATGGACAGAGGTATGGTTGAGTTTGGAAACTTCATTAATAATCTGGAATTGGTGGATATCCCAATGTTAGGTAGGCTTTTCACTTGGGGTAATTCACAAAGCTGGAGTAGACTTGATCGGTTTTTGGTTAACCCTGAGTGGTTAGAATGGTTCAGATATAAGGTTTGGGGATTACCTAGATTGTTTTCTGACCATTGTCCCATTTTGATGATGGTTGATGCTAGGAATTGGGGCCCTAAACCCTTCAAGTTCATCAATGCTTGGGTGTTACATCCTAATTTTCTTGATGTAGTCAAAATAGCATGGGAATCAACAATTGTTCATGGTTGGGCTAGTCATGTAATTATGGAGAAGCTGAGAGCTCTAAAAGTGGTTCTGAAAAGATGGAATGTGGAAGTGTTTGGGGGCGTTGAATCAAAATTAACTGAAGCTGAAAGTACTTTACATTCTCTGGATTTACAATCTGAGTTGAGGGGATTGACTGAGGAGGAAGAGGGTAGAAGAAAGGAGGTACTGGGTCAAATTTGGAAGCTTAGAAAAAGAAAGGAATGGTTGTGGGTGCAAAAATCTAGAATGAACTAGGCTTTGAAAGGGGACAGAAATATGAGATTTTTTCATCTTATGGCCACTAAAAAACAAAACAGAAATTCGATTGCATCTCTAATGGTGAATGGGGTTGAGGTGGAGGAACCAAGTACAGTCAAACAAGCAGTGTATTCTCGTTTCCAGGATTTATTTTCTGAACATTGGAGGTTGAGGCCAAGGATAGGTGGAGATTTTAAGAAGATTGATGCTACTCAAGCAGTGACTATTTTGGAGGGAGAATTCACAGAGGAAGAAGTTTGGGGTGCTATAAAGGTCTGTGACGGGAACAAAGCCCCTGGCCCGGATGGTTTCAACATGATGTTTTTTCAAAAAGGATGGAAATTCTTGAAAGGTGACATTATGAAGTTCATGAAGGAGTTCTATAGTAATGGTAAATTGGGCTATGGGGTTAATTGTTCTTTCGTTTCTCTTATCCCCAAAAGGAGAATCCTAGTTCCTTTCTTGAGTTTAGGCCTATTAGCTTGATTAATTCTCCATATAAGGTGTTGTCCAAGGTTTTGGCCAACAGAATTAGGCAAGTTCTGCCTTCTGTTATTTATAAGGCTCAGTCCACTTTTGTAGGGGGTCGAAATATTATGGATGGTGTGCTTATAGCCAATGAGGTGGTAGATTGGTGGAAAAAATCAAAAAATAAGGGCCTTATTCTTAAATTAGACTTTCAAAAAGCATACGATACTGTTAATTGGAATTGCTTGTTGCATATGCTTTCTAGTTTTGGTTTTGGTTCAAGATGGATTCGATGGATGAAGGAGTGCATGGAATCTGCTAGAATTTCCATTTTGGTGAATGGCTCCCTTTCCGCTGAGTTCTGTCCACAGAAAGGGTTAAGACAGGGTGATCCTTTGTCCCCGTTCTTGTTCAATGTTGTTGCTGAAGGTCTGCATATTCTGTTGTCAAGGGCCAAGGAGTTGGGGTTTATAAGAGGTGTGGTCGTGGGTAATAGAGCTGTTAATGTGTCCCATCTCCAGTTCCCTGATGATACTATTATATTCTGTGAGGCTGAGTGGACAGAAATCATGACAATCAAACGAATTTTACGGTGTTTTGAAGTGGTATCGGGGCTGAAGATAAATTTTCATAAGAGTTTGATATGCGGAGTTGGAGTGGAGAGTGGGTTGGTGGAGGAGTTTGCAGAAACACTTAACTGTTTGAGTCACAAATTACCTTTAAAATATCTTGGAATGCCTCTTGGTGCCAATCCTCGCAGGAAACAAACATGGCAGCCTGTTGTGGATCGAGTTAAAAAGAAACTATCTGGGTGGAAATGTAGGCTGTTGTCATATGCTGGAAGAGTCACACTCATTAAATCTGTCTTGTCTTCCTTGCCTGTTTATTATATGTCTTTGTTTAAGATTCCAGAGTGTGTTGCTAAACAACTTGATAAGATTCAAGCTAGGTTCTTGTGGGGAGGGGATGAATCTAAACGGAAAATACATTTGTTAAAATGGAAAGAGGTGCAGCTGAATAAGAAACAGGGTGGCCTTGGAATAAAAGATATCAGGTTGTTGAATTCATGCTTGCTTCTCAAGTGGTGGTGGAGATATGCTCTTGAAAACGAGGCTTTGTGGAAATTTGTGATTTGTGCTAAATATGGGATATCGGGGGGCCGATGGTTTCCTCCAGTGCAGGATTTGGGTTCAGTTTCTTCTATTTGGAAAGATGCTCTTGATGTGTCATTTTTAAACCCTTATTTGTTTAACTTTTTTCGGGAAAATGTGGAGATTAGGATTGGTGATGGATGTAGGGTAAATTTTTGGGAAGATACTTGGTTGGGATCATTAAGTCTCAAAGCCCAATTTCCAAGGTTATATCAACTGAA